TTTTGAAGGATATTCAGTTTACTTGAGGACTTGTCTGAGGCTCCCAAGTTCACCATCAATCGTATCATTGGCGCAGATTCACTAACAATTTTAACCCCATCAAATTTCCAACGCTTTCTATCTTTGTACCACTGAGTATTGCACAATTTTACTTTCGAAACCACTTTTGAGTAATTAAATCAGTTATGTCACCTCCTATTACTTAATAATGGACTATTAGACGTCTTTTGGTATCTTTAAATAGGATTTTGCAGCCTCTGAAGATGATTTTGTCGACAAAGAAAATTTTCTTCTCTGAATTGTCTTTGTATTTTTTTCAAACTGATTGAAGTTAAGATACAATTGGTGGATGGTGACTAGCAGTGGAATCCAGGATGCGCATTTCGTCCTATTTGGGACTCGTCAGCTGGATGTACCTGCATTTCTCAGTGAGTGATGATGTTCCCACCGAGGCACTGGGTTCGAGCTTCGGTGGGAACATCATCACTCACTTAGAAATGCAGGTACATCCAGCTGACGAGTCCCAAATAGGACGAAATGCGCATCCTGGATTCCACTGCTAGTCACCATCCACCAATTGTATCCTAACTAAATGCCCAGACATCGTCGAAGCATCTGCACAAGAAGCCGACATGTCAACCTGAGACCGAGCACTTCGGTCCAGTCAATCGACGGGAAAATCAAAAAATCCAATTCAATGATTGAAGTTAAATTTCCTGGACCATTAGCCTTTGTCTCACTGGCTAAATGGTCAACCGGCTGGCCTGCTCACCGGAAGGTTCTAAGTTCTATCCCCAGTGGGATCATAAATGGATACCATTGAAGAGCCCTAGGAAAGGACGAAACAGCTCTCCACTGCTTCTGTAACTGAAGCAAGATTCTGATCACTCCTGAAATCATTCAGATTCCTGAAAACCAACACTTGAAAATTAATCTAGTGGTCACTAACTACTGACTACCTAGTGAATTCGCCTAAAGTTCTAGCAAAACGTCGTAACTATCAGGGTCCACCAAGTCTGGTGTAAGGACGCTGGCTAACAGTTGCGCTATATATCACCAGTCTAAAGGACTAATGATTTTCCTTAGTGAAAAGGGGCATCAAGAAAGGTTTTTATACGAATCAAAAGACTCTCGTGAAGTTCGTTATGGTAGGTTGTTGCTTTAGATTATAACAATCTAGAACAGTCCTTCAAGGATTAATGGTGACGTCATTTTGATTTACTCCTGATGGCAACACAGCTAGACTCCAAATTGTCCATACAACGAGATATGGATTGATTACTTATATGTGACGTCCAAGGTGTATTAACTACTCCTGGCCAGCTTTCTACTGTTCGAATCTCACGGGCTTCTTCTTTCCTTCCTTTTCGTTTAGTACTTCTTATACTGGTAAAAAGTTTCATTTATTCCTTCTGTGTGAAGACGTATCAATCATCGATCTGCTTACAACTTTCGCTAAAGACATCACGCTGTATGCTACTTACAAATTCTTATCATTAGCATACACGAGAGCCAGTTATGACAGCCTTCATCATCCTATATAGCTTAGGTTTCCTGGTTTGTTTTATGTATGACTGCCTACACTTTTCGTGGGTTGGAGTTTCTAGTGTCAGGCCTAACATTTCTGCTTAGGCTTAAACGTAGGTTAACTGGAAATCAAAATAGGACTTCCTGATTGGTTAGGGGTGGCGGCATGTCTATCACTGAACCGCCGAATCATGATTATTCATTCTAACAACCTAACTTCAGTTATAAAAGGGATTATGTTAAAACTTAAGTTTTCAGAAATGCTTTCTACCGTAAAAGCGATGTATTTCTTTTGTTTTTGTTTTTTCAGGGCGTTCTACGCGCAATCAATCCAGAGGCTGGTTTCTTCGGTGTTGCACCAGGAACAAACGCGAAAACAAATCCAAATGCATTGGCTACTTGTATGAAGAACACCGTTTTCACAAATATTGCACAAACAAAAGATGGTCATGTCTTTTGGGAAGGACTTGAAGATGATTATACACCAGATACTGAAATTATTACATGGCTTGGTGATCATGTCAAATTGTCAGATAAAAGTCATGATCCTAAAGCTCATCCTAATTCAAGATTTTGTTGTCCAGCAAGACAATGTCCAATTATTCATCCTAAATGGGAAGATCCTAAAGGTGTACCAATTTCAGCAATTATATTCGGTGGTCGACGACCTGAAGGTATCCCACTGGTTTTACAATCTTTTGATTGGAAACATGGCGTTATGTTGGGTGCTGCTTTGAAATCTGAAGCAACTGCAGCTGCTGAATTTAAAGGTAATCTTTTCTACTTTAAAGTATTATTCACTTTGGTTCTTTATACTGAGGAGTGCAGAAGATTTCGAAACTGATTTCAGAATGATGATGAAAGTTTGTCTTGCCTTTGCGATTCCACTTTCGAAGTCCCCATCCATTCGGAGTGTTTTTGAATCTGAAGTGAAGCTTCCTAGATGTGTGTGAAGGATGTCTTGCGTTGATATTGATTGGTACTCATTATGATTGTTTGGTTATTTTCAGCAGCCCGGGTATTCTGTATGTTCGCTCAAACTCCTGTCTTCGCTGTCCACTTCTTCTGCCATTTTATTGGTTTTCACCTGAAAGACATAAATCATTCAAGAAATTCAGATCATCTAGTATCCTTTTGTCAGTTCAATGTATTCCCGTCTTCTCACTTTCCACAGTGTTTACTGTCCACCATTGATGATAATAGGCAGCCAGCCTTGTCTTTCTCCTGTCTTCCCTTGAAAGGCTTTGCTGGGTATTTTTGTTGTTGTGGATCACTTGATATGTGACATTGTTATATGGCTGTTGATTCAGGATGATAAAGAACTGAAACACTGCATTCAACGGTGGTGAATTAGTTTCCAAATTACTTCACAGACAGCACTGTCGACGGCCTTTTCAAAGTTCAGCTTTAAGTATCTCCACGTTCCTGACATTTCCTAACGGCAAAAGTTATGGACCTTATCAATGTAATGGATATGTCTGCCTATGTGAATAACATTTATTTATGAATTGGTCTAAGAATGCCAGCAACAACTCGACCCAGTGAGTCAAAGTTACTACTGATCATGTGAGAGTCGTGGCATTGAGGAGTGTGCTTCCGGCTGTTCATGGTGCTAGTTGATGAAGTGTGATAGATGCATTTGACTTCCATTAAAAGCAACCTGAGACTTGTTGTCAGTTTTTATAATACTTAAGCACTCATAATGTGAGGAATTTGAATACGTTTCAGGTGGATTTCGACTTATCGTGAGGTTATCGTTGAAGAGACATGGTCTGGGACGAAATACTCATCCCTTACATTCCTTATTTTCGATAATTCTTCCTGCCGGTATTAACATCTGATAACGTATGCCTTAGGTTTTTACATAGATTAGCAGTGTTATAACAAGGAGTTAATTTCCGAGAATTCTTACTGCTAATTTAGTAGTATGTGTAGTTTTTTTAATTAGCAAAATTTGAAATTTAAATCAACCTTTTTCGAAATAAAATATTTATTTGAAAAAATAAGAGGCTGACAGGTATAGTACATGTTGTTTTTCGTACAAAAATCTCCAATTTATAAGTTTTAATGTAGGTAGCTTGACAAACTGGCATTGTAAACCAAAGATAAGTGGACAGGTGTTTCTTGATGAAGAGAAGAGCACTAGTGATGTTTGGTTTTCAGTGATCCTGTTTCATGAGGAGATCTACACAGTCAAATGAATAGGCATTCCTAGAAAACCTCAAATATCACTGTCAATCTTCCGCTCATTCGTGGCTTCGGGTTGGTTGTACTTCATTTCCACCGAGAACTTGTGGTCTTTAGTGCTTGTTATATTAAGTGTAAGGAGGACACTTTTGAAATTCAATAGATTCTCAATCGCAATCCACACTTGATTGGATTCCAATTCAGTGGCTATATATGTTCAATAGACCTGGTCTCGTAACCTAAAATCCCTGGTTTTTATTTCCAGTAGGGTTAAACTATGCTGCATGTGTTACGGACAAAATATATAAGGAGTTGAAAATATGTCTTCCTCATATTTGGATCTGGTTTATACTGTGGTCAGGAAATAATCTCATTGGCCAGCCTTTGGGCCAGTAGCCAACCAATCAGAACAGTTTATTATCCTTAGAACTAGCTGACTTTTAATATGGCTAAAAATGTGTAAATATGATACGTTCGCCTTAATAAAGATAGTCCATTCCCAATTCTTCCATTTTCTGCCATTACAATTTGTGTTTGCGTGTGCTGCTAAGGAGTCCTAAACAAGGACGAAATAGTCAGCTGTCCAATGTTCCTTAGTTTGTCTTGTTTCTAGAGTTCATGTCAGTTTAATGGGATTTTCGAGCTATGAGGTTCAGTTTGTAATGCCAGCTAGTAGACAGCTTGGTTGGAATTAATGTTTCTTAATTATAAAACGCAAAATAATTGAGCAAGAAATATCCTATTCGATGATTTCGTTTTCTGGCTCTACAATTATACATATGCATGTTTATATGCATAGAATATTCTAGAATAGTAGTCAATAACAACATTAGTGTTTTTTTAAATAATATCGATTTGTTAAGTAAGATCGCAATGGAATTAAAGTTCATTAAAGGTACTTAAATAATAATAGTAATAAAGATATAATAGCGAATAGAATATCAACTAAAATTAGGAAAATCCCACAAAAGTTTCGAAATCATTCGAATCTAGATGGCCAAGGTAAGAATAACGTTTGAACTAACTTCGTTTGGATGCATTAATTAGGCTTCCTAATATGGATCCCAACAGCCAACTTCAGCAATATTTAGTAGTCGAACTCTTAATGCAAAATCGAGATTTATTGGTATGCGGTAAGTGACCCTAAAAGCATGGTTGACATCAATCTTGCGTTCTGTATCCACAAGATGAGATAGAATGGCACTGTGAATAGATTTTGTTTGTCCGCAACCACACAAGGTGATGTTGAGAAATTCGACGAGAAACACGCCGAATTGTACGGCCTATGCAACTAACTAGCTCACTCCATAGGAGCAGTTAAATTGGTAGATGCATATGGAAGAGGCGAAATTAGTCAGTTTTTCTTTTACTCCCGAACGCAAAAGAGGAGTGGTTTTGAAGACACAGCGTAATTCGGCAGCAGGGAATGCCTTTTTTACTGCATTCCTAAGGCGCCGTGTTAGCATATCGCTGATGTTGCCCCCAAGGTACTGCATTTGTAAGAATAAAGCCTTTTTAGGAACTGTTGCTACCTTAGGTTGCTTTGATTTTAGATTCATATTCTTATCAATAAACGTTTCTGGATAACAATTTTCACTCAGCAACCGTTAAATATTATTAAGTTCCTCATCAAGACATTCATCCGAGCAAATTGCTCTTGCTCTTTGGCGGGCAAAGCACTTTATCAGATTGCGTTTATATTTCAAGGGCACAAAGCTGAAAAAATGAGTATACTGATAGTCAGTTGATGTAGGTTTTCTATATACACTTCCTCTTCTTATTGTGCCATCCTCTTTTCTGGTCATAAGGACGTCTAGAAATGAAATTCTAGGAGTCTTTTTCTTTCTCAATAGTAAAATTTATTGCAGGATGAACCTCGTTGAATTAGTTCAGACAGGATGTTCATTGCTTCCTTCTCATCTTTCATAATCAAAAATATATCATTCGTGTACCGGGAATAGAATTCGAGTTCATTATTAACATCCTTCAAAGGCTCATTTTCTATTTTCACACGAAAAATATCAGCTAGAATGGGTCCTAGCGGTGACCCCCTTGCTACACCATCGATTTGTCTGCATAGTTCCCGATTAAATAAAAAGTGGACATTCATTGTACATTTTTAAGAGAAGCTCTTTCATAAAAGATAGAGGAATGTCAACATCGATGTTTCATCTTATGAGTTCTTCATATAATTAAATAATTAATTGATTAGTTTCTTAATTAGTTACCTCATTTTTTATTTTTAAATTTATCATTGTCACCTTTTATTATTCTCTTAAATTACAGGCAAACAAGTAATGCATGATCCAATGGCTATGCGTCCATTTGTTGGTTATAATTTTGGGCATTACTTAAATCATTGGTTAAGTATGGATAAACCGCCGCATAAATTACCACTGATATTCCATGTGAATTGGTTCCGATTAAATAAACAAGGCAAATTTGTATGGCCTGGTTTTGGCCAGAATATTCGTGTCATTGATTGGATAATGAAACGTGTAAATGGTGAAGATATCGGTGTACCATCACCTATCGGTATTTTGCCTAAAAAAGGTTAGTTGTGAGTATCTTGCTTTTGCTTATTAGAAAGTGGTCTCAATTGCTTAATGGTCTATGAGGTCTTGGATTCGAATCCCAGTGGGGTGGATGCGTACCGATGAAGAGTTCCAAACTGGAACGAAACAGCTCTCCAGCAGTACTCCTATTGGTTCCAGTGGTTCTTTAATCGATGTCAACCCATGATGAATTCCTGTAACCAGCCAAATCTCTGAAAAGCAGCACTAGAGAATGGTTTAACTATACTGTGGCGTTACATTATGACGTGGTAGTTGAACGGTCAGCTAGTTTGTCTCATAACCCAAAGTTCCTCAGTTCGATCCATGTTAGGGTTATACATGTGTACTGCTCAAGAGTTTCGAACTATGATGAAACAGCTATCGATGGTTCTCTGACTAATAGATGACGTTACATAACAAATTCTGCCTTGCAATTATTGTTAGGTTGTGTAGTCTTGTTAGTAAAGATGGAACATGGGTCCCGAGATTCCTACCGATTGAGTCTCACCATCAAGTATAGATTAATTGCTAGTAAAGTTGTGTTTCTACTGACAGAATACTATTCGCTATAAATATTTGTTAGAGGGTCATTTTGTTTGTTGAATGAGATCTTCATTAAGCAGCATAATATCAGTTCTCATCCTATGATTGATTGTAGCGCTCAGTGTAAGTAAGCATGGCTTAGAAAACACACTGGACGAATTCAATTTAATAATGAATTGTCGTAGCTTCCAACTGACTTACAATGAGTCACAATGTGGACTCATTCATTTCACTAGGATGGACTGTTAATTTGTATCTTGATTGGTTGAGTTCAGAGGGACTGACAACCAGGAATCATTCTCTCAGTTATGGAGTGGTTGTCTATATGCAACTTAGACGAAGAAAGTAGGTTAAATGACTAACCTATGGAAGCACACCAGCTTAAGAGATCAGCATATATATATATATATATATATATATATATATATATATATATATATATATATATATATATATATATGTATGATATCCGTCCTTCTTCTGATTGCACGAAATGTTTAAATGTCTCGTGCAGATATGATAAATTCTTCTATGAGTTGAGGATAAAACTAGTCACAACGCATTTCGGCGTATAGTATAGCAAATGCCACATCAGATGTTCCACTTTTGATTGGATAACAGATTGGAGATAATGCCATGCATTTAATCCTTCATTTGATGCAGAGAAGGATCTCTATCAGTCGAGTTTACAATACGGCCACTAACCTTGGAGACTCATCACCATGGTGTATTCTGAACTGTTGTTGTAGGATGGCATGAGGTGATCGGCAGGAAGCCTTAATCCTCGGTTCCATGCTTGTTAGAACCTGTCGACAAGTCGCATCTGTGATCTTGAAGGAACCCATGTCTGCACAAAATGAAGGACTAAGAGCATAGAACTGGTTACTTTCAAGTGTTCAATCAAAGTAGCTAACTCAATCCTACAAGAGGTCAGTCGTGAACACAAATAGCTCAGTGATGACGTCATCTTTGACTGCAGTACAGAGTGAAGCGGATTTAAAATCTCAAAATGGACACGAGTTTCTTCAGGATTGCAGATATGCCTTGCTGACTGATTGACTGACTGGCTGGTGAGTGGCAACGCTCAAGAAACCTAGGTTAGGTAAGGCTTCCTGTTGATCACCTTCAACCAGCTAATAGATTTTTCATAGGTTCAAAAAACAGTCGATAAAATAACACATCTTTGCAATTACCAGCAGTTACATCTGACATGATAACAGCATTCCTTTAAGCAAAGTAACTTCTTCATAAATCTTATTTAAGAAAGACATTTGAAAATTGATATAAAACAGGAAGAAATACGGCAAAATATCATCTCACTATTAACTGTAGTTATCGTATGATTATCCACCGGCCTACTGCATTCCATTCTACTTTACACAAATGGTATCTTATCGGTATAATTTAGTTTTCTGTTTATCAGTCGACAGCAAGAATGATGAACTTTCCAAAAAGATTATTTATAAGCAACATTTTTTATAATAGGGGTTGAAATTCTTCATGAGAAGAGACACGTCGTTTTTTTTACATCAGAAAGACGATTCCAATTCAGTGAAATAGACTTTTGGTAAGGCATAATTTTTTTTAATTTCACACAAATTCGAAGATTTGAAGGCAAAAACCAACAAACTGACTGAAGAAGCAGATAGCGAAGACAGGTAACCGTCAACCAACCAACCAACAGCAGCAACAACAACAACCAGCACCAATCACCATCAACGCGATAAGTTTGAAAGAGGTTACTTCCTTCATTTATCCGACTGGGAAGCACAGCTTCAATCACAGGCAGTCGACAGCACGCGTATAGAGGTGTCAGAGAAGACCAGAATCGGAAAAAACAAGATACGCATTTATCATTCTGAAACAATCTTGGAAATCTGCACACAATCAGTATAAACAACAAGTTTCGGATTGTGTTCAACAAAAATGTGAAGTCAATCAGTCAGTCAGTCAGTCAGTCAATCAGTGCTTCTATACGGTGAGAAATGTGCACTGCGTGTCATGAAAAGCATTTTCAAAAAAAACCATTGCAGACTTTTATCAACAGCTGCCCCGCCCCCCCACTTCTCTGGCTCTATACTGAAGATGAAATGGCCAGTCGGCCGACCAGAGAGAACTGTGGTGACAAGAAACTATGGCTGGAAACAAACCAATCGACTAAGAGTCGATCACTCAACAAATATGTAGGTGAAAATGGAAATGGACTGGGCATACGTTGAGGAGGCTGTTGAATAACATCAAGCTCAGTGCAGGCTATCATTCGAGTGGAATCTCAATGAGAAGCGACGAGTGGATCATGGAGGAGATCGTATGAATTGGAGGGGAAGATGAGGGATCATGGTCAATCTTGGATCCAGCCGGCTGAAGAGGACAGCAGAAAGTGGAAGAAAGTGGAAATGTGTTGTGTTGTTGAATCCCTATGTTCTACTTGGAACTCAAGAGGAAAATAATAATAAAAGAAAAAACTAACAATAAGGCACAAGGAGTACAAGCGTTAGCAGTTACAGAACAATGATACGTTTCAAATATTGGATCTTCCGTGATTCCTTAGTTCTTTTACACTTACAATAAGGTGAAGACAATAGAGAATCTAGTAGGTGAGGTGTAAACTGTGTCGCGTAAACGACAAGATTTCATCTAGTGAACAGCAATAGAGAGAGACAGGGTCATGAATTTCTCCCTACTGCCAACTCATCAATTAGTTGTGTATGCGAATCTCTGGCGAGTAACGGTTGTTTCCACTGAGACTTCAATTCACTCACTATCTGTCGACTGAAACAAATAACATCGAGTTAGTAATCCTAGTAATTTTGTGACACCCTGATTCATGGAGCTATGGGCTCTGGTTCATTGGGAACATCATTACTCATTTGGGAGTTGGCACATCAAGCTGGTGAGTCCCAGGTGAGATGAAGCGCGTGTCTTGTCCCATCCGGGACTTGTAAGCTAGACCTGTCGGCATCCCAGTGACATTTGGTGTTCTCAGTGGAACTTGAAGCCAAAATCACGCACCACCTCACCAGTCAGTTACTGACCGATAACTGGTAAGTCATTAACTGATTAAGTTTTCCAAAAATCAAGTTAAAAATCAGTCTGTCTGAAAGAATTCACACTCGAAACTTCAGTCTAACATGATAAAGGTGATAAGATTAGTTTGTATTTCGCGTCGATTGACAGGATTAGACCAAAATACTGGGTGTCTGTTGACATGTCGGCTTCTACCACAGACTCTTCAATGATGTTTGACGATGAATTGGAGGTTATTTGAGTTAGTGGTGACTGGTACAAGGAATCCAGGGCGCGAGTTTCATCCTACCTGACGTTTATGAGACAATGGGCAGTCGGTTTGAGTAATAGAAAAGATTTGTAACTCAGGCGGATGATTTGGAATTGATAGTGTTCTCTGAGCTCCTTGGTTTAATTGCGGAGCTTTCATCGTCTTTCTGGACGACATCTTCAGCGCAGTATTTAGGATAAAGTGAAAAACGGTCAATAAATATCTAAAGATGGTTACCGGGAGACTCATGAAGAAATTTAAATCATTTCACTTTATCCTAAATACTGCGCTGAAGATGTCGTCCAGAAAGACGATGAAAGCTCTGCAATTAAACCAAGGAGCTCAGAGAACACTATCAATTCCAAGTCGGTTTGAGTCTCAGTGGGATCTCTATCACCAAACTGGGGAGTGCGGCCTCAATCTGGATGACGAGTTCCAAATAGAAAGAAATGTGAATCCTGGATTCCAATGGTTTACATATCATCAACTGAAATTACAAGACGAAATCAAATTATTTCTGATCACCGAAACTTTGCTAAAGAATCTGTGACTTCAACATCATTGCGTTTACTTGTAAATTAAAAGATGTGGGTTAAAGAGAATTGTTTTTCGGATGAAACTAAATGAACTCTACTCCTAGTCAAACACAAAATCATCCTCTAAAACTAAACAAGGTAGTCGTTCCACGTATGAAGAACATTTTTGGAATCACTGCTGAACAAATGAAGTGTAGTGGTCAGTAAGCACAACAGGCTCAGAACGAAGCTGATGCTGTTATATTCTTCTAATTAAGCTTAATTTTTGGCTCACATTAGTCTACAACACTAAAATAACTATATTTTATAGGTGTCACACACTCATGGAGTCTCCGATGAGGTTTATCATTCATTGTAGGGGTGGGTGGGTGGGTTTCTCACATGAATTCGAATCTTTGCCTCTCCGCCAGACTTCAAATGATCAGTAATACGATCAGTTAGTAGATTTTGAGCAATATAGACCTAACGCCCTGATTTCAAACGTGGTCGGATAATCTAATCTTATAGTAGTAAGAATTCCACTCACACAGTGAGTTCCTATCATACTTCCTAATACATTTATATATATTCAAGTATTGGCCTGTAGGAGTATGGTTGATTGGTTCCAGGATTTCGTCATGAGCTGACATTGGTTAGAGAACCATCGGAAAACCTGAGAGTACTGGACAGCTGTTTCGTCAGCCTAGTTTGGGACTCTTCAGCAGTACGTACATTTATATATATACTGCTGCTCGGACGCCCAGAGTGAAGCTGGCGATTATCTTAAGAGTCCACTCTCGTAGCCCTTGACTTGAATTCTGACCCTCAGAGCTGTGGAGTAGCACCAATAGCTCCGTTGCCATGGTTTCTGACGATCAGAATGGGTTGGATTCAGTCGAATTCTGGAGGCCATTTTCACCACGATAGTTTTGGAATCAGAATTTTCAAGTTTCTTTAACTAGGTAGACCAATATGTCAAACAATCCGACTGTTAACACCAGACTATGGCATTCACCTTCTCACTTTCGTGAGGAACACCACCGTCGTGTGAAAGTAGTGAGTATGACTTACCTGGCCGACTGACAGAGTCTGTGATGGACGTGTGGCCACAATGAAGCATTTTGAGGAGGGGAAGGCTCAAGTGTATTCATCCTTGGCGGAATCAAGTCGTTCATGGGGGGTAGTAGCTGATGACAATTTATTCATCCATACTAAAATTATACTGCACTACTAATCAATAAGTTTTAACAATTAGCATTGCTATTATCATTGCACTTTTCTCTTCCAGGAACAATCGATTTCGAAGGAATTAAGGCTGATTGGGATGAAAATTTCTCCTTGCCGAAAGATTATCTTCTAGAAGATGTTGAAGAGACAATCAAGTATTTACATGAACAAGTTGGTAAAGATCTACCTGATGTTATTCAAAAAGAATTAGACAATCAACGTCAACGTATTCAAACTCAACTTTAATTCTGCTTGAATCAATAATGATTGATAATTAATGATAACAATATTATCATGAAGCTATTAATATCTTCATGAACAAGCATTACATCAAAGTCAGGTTTTATTTTCTTTCTAATTTGGTAAGTGGATATTTTTTTATTTAACACGATATATACTACTGAATAATTGTGATTATTTGGATTGACCACTATTACCATTCATTCATTCATTCATTTCTTGCGTTACAAGTAGGTTACTTCACCCTCTTCTGCTCCTTATCGTTCAAATATATGGCTTCACGACTGCTCACGAGGTTTCGTTTCCTCTGTACACAATCTAGCAGATGTTATTCTTGGACCCACTCCCAACTTGTCACATCACAATCGGGTTCCCTTTCGAGGTGACATCACTCAGTAGTTTGCATAGCCAATATCTAAGATATCTCCATTTTCGTTTGTATAGTTCGCTGCTTGCTAGAGCCCCTTGTTACTGATATGTTTTGGATGGTCATCTGATATCCAGTGTGAAGTCGGATAGGGGTCATGGATTGATGATAGTTTCATTAGAAGGGGGATCTTGCAGCTCAGGTGGTTCAAACGTCGTTTCAACTAAGGGCGGACGGAACTGATGAGGATATTAAACAACGAGGATCGATAAAGCGAGGTAAGATTTCATCACACTCATGGCTGTGTGAAGATCAATAGCAGTGCTCAGCATGAAAAAAAAGATCCGGATCTCCAACTCCAATGTGAAGTCAGCGCTACTTGCTATACGGAGCAGAGGCTTCGTGTGTTAAAAAAGAGCATCTCAAACAAACTTCAGACCTTCATTAACAGCTGTCTTCGCTCAATACCACTCAAGATCAGATGACCGGCTGGGAAAGATCAACAACATAGATCTCTGGAAGCGAACCAACCAGGAACCGATTGCGCAACAAACATGCAGGAAGAAATGGGAGTGGATTGGCCATACACTGAGAAAACCATCAAGTGACATCACAAGACACACCCTCGAGTGGAGCTCAATTGAATGGGAAGTGGCCAGTTGTTCCTCCATAGGTGACGTGGAGAAAGTGATGTGAAGAGGAGATGAAAGCATGTGGACAGACGTGGAGCCAGGTGAAAAGGTTGGCGGTGAACTGAAAGCAATGGAGGTGTACTGCTGAAGCCTAATGTTCCTCTAGGAACTAAAGGAAACAATAATAATATAATATATTTATTTATATGTATAATAGTCTAAGTGACTTAAAAAACTGTGAGGAGCAAGAATACAGGAATGCGTTAGACGGATAGGAAGACTCTACAAGATCTGGACTTCATGGATAATTCGTGTCTAGCATCACACAAACTCGAAGATCTACAGGAGGAGGAGGCCAAAACTATGGCAGAGGAAGCAGGCAACAAAGACAATACTCAACGTGGAAATGCAGAAGATGGGGTTAATGAAGATAATCAACCAACTAACAACAACAATAACAACCAACACCAATCACCACTAACGAGAGAGATTTCACAGAGGTTACTCCCTTCATTTTTCTAGTAGGCGTCGTTTCAACTACAGGGAGTCGGAGCGGATGAAGATATCAAAGCAGGGCAGAATCGAAAAGGCAAGATACGCCTTCATCAACCTGAAACCAGTTTGGAAATCCTCTGTGCTCAATCACTCAGCCAGCATAAACAACAAGATTCAGTTTCTGTTTAACACAAATATGAAGTGAGCCAGTCAGTCAGTCAGTCAATTCTTCTATAGGGGTCAGAAACTTGCCCAGTGTGTTACAAAAAGGATTTCCAACAGCCTGTTACAGACTTTTATCAACAGCTGCCATCTTCGATGGCTGGCGGCTTCACACCGAGGATCAAATGACCTAGAAGAATTTAACAAGAAGAAACTCTAGGAACTAATCAATCAGGAGTTCATTTTTGAAAAAAATATTCTAAAGAAAATATAGGCGGATCAGACACACACACACCGAAAAGACCACCGTGTGATATCGGGTGTAAGGGGTCATTGCTCGAGTGAAACCCGAATGTGAAACAATGTTTAGGACTTTCGAGGGTGATTTAGAGGAGACCATGAGAGGAGAAGAAGAGACTTTATGGGTACTTATACAGTCAGCTTCGCATTAGTATTATTCCCTTGGATTCTGAGTGGAACATACCGCTTCAACAACACAACTACACTTTCTCTTGTCCTTTGAATTCCTCTTCAGCCGCCTGTTGCAAATGTTTTTCATGACACACCACACAAGTTTCTGACCCATATAGAATAAATGATTGACTGACTTTACATTTGTGTTGGCCCTGAATCCGAATCTTGTTCTTTATGCTGGCTGAGTGAGTGCAGAAGATTTCCAAACCGATTTCAAGTGTTGGTTTGTAGGAATTCGATTGGTTACAGGATTGGTCATCATGAGCTGACATTAGTTAGAGAACCATTGGAAAACCTGGGAGTACTGGACAGCTGTTTTGCCATAGTTTAAGACTCTTCAGCAGTATGCGCCCAATGGGATTCAAATCCAGGACTCCCCTGGAGTACTCCCCTATTATAAATTCTACTATATTCAATATTTTCATGTGATTGAAATTAGTTCTACTCATTTAGTGCAGTACAGTGCTGATAAATTTGGCTTCGAAAATGAGGGCAAAAGCTCTCTGATGTTTACATCTGACTAGCTAGCAAGCACTGCTAATTGATATGCATGATTTCCAAACTACTCATAACAACCATCAGTAGTATATACCATAGATCATTGGATCTTTATTTTCATTTTCTTTTTGATATGATCCACAGATAAATGTTAATAAGTAAATATTTTTTCATCCTCTTCCAGATCTATTTGAAATCATGAAATGAGCATCAGTCAAATTAGAATGAAATTGATTTTTCAAATTTTTGTTTCCTGTAACTGTCATTTTCTTTTTGTCGCTGTTGTTGATCTTGTTGTTGTCGTTGTTGTTGCTGATCCCTTCTGACTTTTACTTTCTGATCGCATTTGTGTTGTTTTTTTCATTTTACATATTTATGTTAAATGCTCAATGCGTTTTTTGCTGTTTAAATTGTACTACTGCTTCTACTATTACGACGACGACTACTACTTCTACTACTAATTTTTATGATTTTCTTTATATGAAGCGCTAGATCAATTAGTTGAATTAATATAAACAAATAAAATATTGAATTATATATTTTCGCGTTATTTTGAGTTCTTTTGCCCAATGTTCCCTCATCTCCTTAAGGTTGTAACAACAGAAGGCAAGGGCCAGGCAACAGGTCGTTTATTTAGGAAATCAACACGTATTTATAGATTTTCATGCACATTATTATATATTTACGAGTTGATCACGGATTGATATCAGTTAGAGAACCATTGAAAACCAGGGAGTACTGCGCTGTTTCATCCTAGTTTGGGAATCATCGGTAGTACGCACCCACTGGGATTCCAACCCATGACCTTCCGATTACAAGGCAAGCTCGTATACCATTCAGCCACTGGGACCTGATTCAATGGCCAGTGCATGATTTCTAACTTCTACCAATTCGTGATTTAGCGCAACCCAGTGGGTGCGTACTGCCAATGATTCCCAAACTAGGATGAAACATATGGCTGTCCAGTACTTCAGTGCTGGTGTCCGATGGTTCTCTGACTGATATCAATCTGTGATCAACTCCTAAACACATAACTAACCCTTACAAACCAAAGTATACATTATTATAGTTTACTGTAAGCAAACAAATACAGTCTTCTGATTGGTGGTTTCTCGCTGAACGTTAATCTTTCATCTCTTTGTGGCCGTTTCTTGAAGTTCAGATTATCTATCAGCAAATTGTATCCGCCTATGCAAAGTATGCTGTGATTGGTTGTTGAATCAGTCTTTGTTTTTATTTTTCTCATAACGAATATTGGGTGCGTACACATTGACGTAAATTAGTATCTTTCAATTTTGGCTAGCAGGCAGCCCCCCCCCCACAAGGTGAACTTCTCTGATAAGAAGAGAAAAGAAGTGTGAAAGATTCTTGTTATGTGATGAACAACAAGAAGAACAAAGTAGTCAGGGAGTGCTACATGTCTAAATCACTGGGTATAATTGCGTTTTGGTTATCTGTTTATGATAAAATCCCAAAGCCAATTAAACTGAATCCCTGCAAGCCAACACTCAAATATCAGTCTTTAGTTCCTAGATAAATATAGGGCTTCAGCCTCACGTCTCCATTGTGTCCTGTGTTTGAACCCTTTGTGATGGGTGCGTAATGCTGAAGAGTTTAAAATTACGCTGACGAAACCTCTGGTTGTCCAGCACTCCCTGTGGCTGGTTTTTCAAAGGTTCTTTATCCGATTTCAGCTCATAATGAAGTCCTGAAACCAGTCAAATTCATGCAGATCAACACTCATATGTGCTGGAATGTGTTCTCATATTCATGTGGAAAGCCATCTCTTGCTACGGTCTGTGTACCTTATTCCATAAGAGCAGATCAACTGATAGATTGCTATGGAGTCTGTCAGACTAGAAAGCCTATCTTTTACAGCGATGGAGAACAACTTACAGTTGGTGAAGGTTAAGTGAAGTTTCATAGTAAAAAACATCTTTTTTGATGTGGTTGTGTTCTTTGAGCTGGATAGTTTATAGCTACGAAGCTTTCATCGCCCCCTACTAGGCGACATCTTCAGCGCATACTTCAATTTAATGAAGTGAGCTTTTAGATTTCTTCAAGAGTTTATTAATCATCTCTCCCGGTGATCTTGGACGTGATTGGTTGTTTTTGTGTGCTTTCACACCTTCTAGGCCACCTCTATTGCAACTTGTATATAGGCCGATACAAGTGGCCTAGAAAGTATGAAAGCACACAAAAACAACCAATCACGTCCAAGGTCACCGGGAGGGATGATTAATAAGCTCTTGGAGAAATCTAAAAGCTCACTTCATTAAATTGAAGTATGAGCTGAAGATGTCGCCTAGTAGGGGGCGATGAAAGCTTCGTAGCTATAAACTTTCCAGCTCAGAGAACACAACCACATCAAAATCATCCGCCTGAGCTACAAATCTTATCTATCATATCTAAAGAACATCTTACTGACCAATTTAGAAAGACAGATTTTGAGCCAGCTTTGAAGCCTTATCACCTTTGAAATCCGAATTCATGATGACGGTTTTCTTTGGAATTCAGTTAGTAACCAGTTTGGATTGCTAATCCTTAGTGCTTTTATCAATAAATCGATACAGTGAAACGTTTTCTGCAAGTGTAGGTTTTAGGAAAGGAAGTTCTTTGTGAACGCGGTCTGTATGTTCTTAACACATGGCCGGTATTCGGAGATGTTGTCTGTGCTACCATTACCGTAATGATCAGACAGATTAAACTGGCTGTGATTGGTATTCAAGCTGTGCTGCTGTTAGAATCATCGCGCAAATTCCCGACAGCACACTGAACATTTGGTGATAAAGCTTTACTATTGGCTAATGGGAGTACGAAGCAGGGAGACTAGCAAGTCAACTATCCTGAATTCCCACCTTGGGAAGGCAAAGGTTAGGAATGATCACCACAGAAAAACGATGTACACTTCGATTTGTCCTACATACAGAAACTCCGTAGGTTCCATTATCCCTCTAGTCTCAAAAAGTAGCATTTGAGTTTCATCTATCTAACGGTCACCTTAAAACTAATTTTTCTCCTCTTACAATTAATCTAATAAAAATATCTAGTCACTGAGATTATCTTTACGTACAGGAAATACTAATAATTATTGAAAAAACAACCTGAGCAGTTAGTTAAATCGCTGAATATTCAGGTCGAATGGCATCATTCAGGGAAGAGAGTCTTTTCAAAGACAGAAGACCAATAGTTCAGCGAAGAGTCTCTTTTCAGCGGAGAATTCATTTTCATGGCTGTACAATCGCAAATATATATATGGTTGTTTTGTGTGTGTGTGTATATATATATATATATATATATATTTAATTTGCTAGACAAAAATACGATTAGTAAGTTCAGGTGAATTGGATGTTGATATAAGAGGGTAGTAAGGAAAGTGATGAGTTGAGTAATAACATGGATAGTTTGATAAAAGAGTTGTGCTCAGGGTGTACATGAAAACAAAATAACATACGGAATTACGCAAGAGTTTTAAGTAGTTAGAAAAATAAGCAAACAAGCAAAAGTTAAGTCAAATCAACGGAGTTGTTACCGCGAGAGTCACCTGATTCCACTGCAACAGGTGAACCGATATATACACATAGAAGTGGTCACACTGAGTCACACACTGAGATTATCTTTACGTACAGGAAATACTGATAATTATTGAAAAAAAAACCTGAGCAGTTAGTTAAACCGCTGAATATTCAGGTCGAATGGCATCATTTACTTTAAATCAGAACAGATTAGTGCTAGTGTGAATAGCTAATTAGTCATTTCAGGATTATGTATTTTTGAAGTTTTAATTCAAACACGGAATGAAAACATGATCAGTTTAAAATAATATTTAAAAAAATTTCCGGGTTAATAAGTAATCATACTTCGAACGAATGATCGGAAACAATTGTCAGGAGGATATGAAACTAAGTTTCGTACTTTTTATTATGATTATTTCCTTTTAATTTCTAGAGAAACATGGGGCTTCAGAGACACGTTTCCATTGCTGTCGGTTCTCTGCCAACCTGGCTGCACGTCTGCCTACATGCTTTCATCTTCTCTTCGCATCACCTGCTCCTCCATCTCACTCTCGCACTCAAGACCAACTGACTCACCGTTTCCTATTTAACCGGGTTCCAATCGAGTGATAGTCTAGCGTGTAATGTCACTCACTCGATGACAGTTTGTTTTCTCAGAGTATGGCCACCAATCCATTTCTATACATTTCTTTCTGCATATTTCTTGCACAGCTGGTTCCAACTGGGTTGGTTCATTCATTGCCAGAGACTCTTGTCGTTCATCTTTACTCACCGGCCATCTGATTTTGAGTGGTATTGAGCGGAGACAGCTGTTGATGAAGGTGTGTGTTTCGGAGTTGTTCGAAGTAGACTTCGTGACGTCGCACGGCGCGGCGCCAAGTCTCTGATCCGTGTAGAGTAGCACTGACATTGGAGTCGAAAGCATGGATCTTATTTTTTGATGCTGAGTGCTGTTGCTCTCCACACAGACTTGAGAGTTATGAAATCTTGACTTGCTTTCCTGATCCTCTCACTTTGATATCCTCATCAGTTCCGTTCGCCTTTAGTTGAAACGATGCTTCGCAGTTAGGTGGGTAGGTAGGTAGGTGAAGGAGGTTGCTTCTTTCAGACTTCTCCCATTTATGCTGATTGTCGTCTGTTGTTGTGGCTGTTGTTGTCAGCCAGGAATCTTCATCACTTCAGTTTTCCCTTTGTTCACCTGCAGATCTGTCTTTAATGTTCACTAGTGACCAACCCTATTCAGGTAGGTAGTTACCTGGGGTTCTAGTGGGAAGTCGTGACCAGTGGGGTACATCAGGTCGGGTTGTGGAGTACGTAACAATGTGATTTAACACTCCACTGACTTGGATTATTATTTTTATATTTGGAATGTTAGTGAACTCTAATATTAGTCCCCTACAAATTAATTGGTGAGCCCGATAAGAACACGGATTATTTTGGCATATTCATATTCTTATTTTTGCTATTTTGTATATTCATTGTGATTTTGTGTGTGGTTTATATTTGTATCCTAATTTGCACCAATAACCTCATATTTATAATGTCATCACCTCAGTCCGGTACATCAAACGAGCAGACAACTAATAGCGAGACAAATGCCACAATAAATGCCATCACTGATTTTCGTTTACCCCAATACGGTTTCGCAGAACCAAGGATTTGGTTTGCGGTAATTGAACCGTTGCTAGAAGCACGGGGCATTAAGTCCCAAATAGCCAAATATGGTATGGTGCTGGCAGAACTCCCTCCGTCAGTATTGACAGAAATCAGCGATTTCATCGAAGATCCTCCGACGGAACATCAATTTGATAAACTTAAAGCCCTCCTCATACAACGTACCAGTTTGTCGGATGAGAAAAGAATCCAACAATTGCTCACAGGCTGTGAACTAGGCCCACGTAAACCATCCCAGCTGCTCAGGCACATGCGCCAGTTAATCGGACATCATAAAGTAGACGAGGTAGTGCTGAAACAGATGTGGTTGCAACGTTTACCTAGAAATGTCCAGCAAATTTTAATCATCTCAGGAAAGTCGTATGACTTAGACCAACTAAGTGACATGGCAGA